CGGCCTCGGGCTCTTGGCAGACATGACCCGCAGGCAAGAGGCCAGGCCTGCCCTGTTTCAGGTGTACCTGCCTCAGAGGCCGAGGCCCATAGAGGGCTGGGCAGATGGGCGGGCTATGCTCCCGGCAGGACGCTCTGCTGTGCCGGACGGCCTGACCTTGGGGAGACTCCGCTGACCTCCAGTGGACAGGGTGTCTCCCCTTTGTGGCTGCTGCAGCTCAAAAAGCCCACGTTTCTGTCCGACGGGCCTGGAGACCAATGCTTGCCGGCGGGCTCCAAGGCAGAGTGCCCCACCCGGGCCCCTTCGCCGTCTGGGGAACGCTTGTGGGGCGAGCAAAAGCTGACGAACGGGCGAGCCCCTCCGGGAGCTGCTGCGGGACTGACCCACACGTGGAGAGGCTCAGAAGATGCCCACGTGCCCCTGGCTCTCAGTCCCTAACAACGTTCTCTCGTCAGGGAACCAGAGCTCCTGTGAGACCTGGCTACGTCTAGGGCTAGTGCAGGGAGAGCATCACGGTCCCAGAGAATAAGGAAATGCTCAGAAACAAAAGGACGGGGACATGTCAAAGGGACTGGAAGAGCTCCCACGAGGCAAACTGGACATGCTGAACCAAACAGAGAAGTACTGGAATACAACCCAGCGTATAAAACTAATATCCACAGATACACACTAATAAATGATTAAAAGTGGAGTGCGCCTTACAGAGGAACTCCAAACAGTCTACGGTAGACAATCCCCCCCTTGAGTATGGGCTGGACTCAGGGGCTTGCTTCCAATGATTGGGGGAAGGAGAGGAAGATGGGACAGCTCGATGGCGGGGGCACCGGGTGGATGCCTCTAACCAAGCGACCACACCCAGCATCAGAGGCACATCACGTTGATGTGGGATGAGAAGTGTCTTTCGCCCCTGCGAGCTTTCCAAACCCCACAGCCCACGGTCATCCTGAGAAAAAGCTCAGACAAAGCTCACCAAGGCTGTCCAACAAAGCACCCGTCCAGTCTCCCTCACGACTGTCAAGGTCCAGAAAGACCGGGATTTCTGAGACTCTGTCCCAGCCTAAGGAGCCGTGAGACTCAATGTCCTGTGGGACTCCAGAGGGGTCCCAGGACGGAATAGGATACTGGGGGAAACCCCGTGAGATCTGGATAAGCCGGGAGTTCCGTCCACAGCAACGCGCCAGCGGAGTTTCTTAGTCGTGACGATCACGCTGTGCTCGGACGAGGTGAACAAGAGGGGAACTCTGTGCACTAGCCACACAGCTTCGCTGGAAATCTAAAACTATTCCAAAATGGGGCGCCTGGGAGGCTCAGCCGGTTGAGCGTCAGCCTTCGGCTCAGGTCGTGATCTCACGGATCATGGGTCCGAGCCCCACATTGGGCTCTCTGCTGACAGTGTGGAGCCTGCTTTGGATCCCACGTTCCCCTCGTTCTCTGCCCCTCCCCTGCTTGCGCTCTCTCTCTCAGAAATAAATAAAACATTAAAATATAGATAAAACTATTCCCGAATGAGTGTACTAAGTGTCACTGAACGAACAGCAGCGTTACCGCGTGTGGGGCCCGGGTTGGAAGGCATGCCCTCCCCCCGACCCCCTTACCGTAGCCCGGCTGCTGCCCGGGATAACTCTGCTGGTTGGGGTACTGCTGCTGGTACCCGGCCTGCTGCTGGGCTGCGCCCTGCTGGTACCCCGCCTGCTGCTGGCTGTACTGCGAGTTCCCTGTGGGGGGAAGGAGACACGCGGGTCATTCCCAGGGACAAAGGCAGCCCTTCCCGCCACTCAGGACGTGGACGCCTCGGAAAACCCTGGGCCACCTCGACTACCTCGGAATCTTCTCTTTCCCACAAATCTTTTACGACATTTTCTCTTCTTGTTTTAGAAGATTACGAATAAACACCCAAAACGAAAGTGAACCGAAAGCAAAGGTTAATGCAAGTGTTTTGGGTTGAACCGTGTCCCCCCAAAAGGTACGTTGGAGTCCTTACCCACACACCTGTGCACGTGGTCTTATCTGGAATTAGGGTCTCTGCACATGTGATCAGTGAGGGGCAGGCTGGCTGGACTAGAATGAGCCCTAATCCAATGACGGGTGCTGTCGTAAGAGGGAGTGTGGACACAGACGCAGGGAGAGCCATGTGCTGACAGCAGCGTGGAGTGACATGCCTACGAGCAAGGACACCCAGGACGGCCGGAGCCACCGCAAGCGGGGACGGAGGCCGGGGACACACCCCGCGTCGGCTCTCGGACCCCTGGCCCGTTTCGGCAGCACCTGGTCACGGCGGTCCTGGGCCACCACGACAGCCAGAGGCGGCGAGTTGGGACAGTCCATCCCAGCAGCCGCTCAGCTGTGGTGCCGGTTGTGGGAAGGACAAAGCACGAGGACTCGCACAGGCAACTGAACGCACTGCTGCCGATGCAGCCACACGGCGGCCAGTGGGGAGGAAACGGAGAAACTCTAACGGTCTTGGGCGGAGAATCAGTACCGGTCAGTGAGCCTTCGGAATGTTCTACACACGTCCCCCTCCCTTGCTGTCTCTTCTCACCGGTAAGGTGTGTGGGACGGGGCCGCGGGCCAGAGTGGGTCCCAAGCAGGCTACACGGACTACCCCACGTGCTTCCTGTGACACTGGGAGGGGGACACCACCACACCCCCATTTCACACACGGGGCACAGAGAAGGGAGATTCAGAGACGGTCGCTCCTGTGGCTGATGGGAGACGCTGAGGTGAGCGGCAGCTCTAAGGCTGTGTCTCCACGCGGCTCGGAAGGAGCCCTGATGTTTCGGGACACCTTCGGCATGGAGGCGCACGTCCGCGGTGCTGGCTCAGATCCACATTGGGTTTTTCCCTTGACGTTAGGAAATCAGTGCCACAGAGCATTTTTTTTAAGGCAGATATATACTTGTATATATGTATATTTTTTTAACGTTTTTTTCTTTATTCTTGAGACAGAGAGAGAGCGTGAACAGGGGAGGGGCAGAGAGAAAGGGAGACAGAATCTGAAACAGGCTC